GTGTCTTAATTCACTGTCAAGCAGCGGCGGCACCAGAAAATTATTATTGGGGGGGGGGCAATGGCCACAACAAATACCAACAAATAAATAATACTATAATAGATATAGATTTACTGTTCCCGGGCTAATACACTACATATTGTGAAATGCACATTACTAAATGTTTATCATATAACAAACACAAGCACATTTAACTACTTGTATTTAATGAATCAACAAATGCCAAACAAGCTCAAAAAACAATACAAATCATAGCCACCACAGAGAACATTTGTGAATTCACTAGAGTGTAACTGAGAATTGTAGCACAGTGTATAGTTACAGTATACTGGTGTATAGTGTAATACAGTATATTCTTACCACTGTCTCTTAACTCACTAAATCTTTTTTCTCTCTCCTTCTGTTCTTCCTCTCATCATAAAGATCGCTGGTCTGAAGAAACAGCAGTCTACTTTTACACACAGCCGCAATATTTCTGATTAGCTGTAAGAGCCAGCTACATTATTGCCAACGAGCAGGTGCAGGCATCCAAGCCATTTTCTGATGGGGAGTTTGTAAAAACATGCACGCTGAAGGCTGCAGAAGTCGTGTGCCCTGAAAAAGCGACCTGCTTTTGCCAATATTAGTCTAACAAGGAACACTGTTGCAGATCGGGTGACAGAACTCTTGAGCAGCCAACTGAAAGAGAAAAAAAATTTGAACACTGCAAATTGCTGATTACATACCAAGCACACTGGTTTTGCGTTCACTTCCGTGAAAAAATACTTCTCAGTCCATTTTTCCTGGAAAAATCATTTTGTGTCCACTTTTCTTTTTTTTGACAGTGCCATTTTGGGAATGGTGTGTTGGCCGGTAACTTGTTTAGTAGTGGTGAATGGTGAAGTAAGATTGCCAGTTTATTTTTACTTGGATGCATCCTGTGACTAACTCGTATCAGTGCTGGATGTGAGCGCTTTTACACATTTACTGCCCTCTAGCGGCCGGAGGGAGCACTTGGTTTGTAGTTATTTTAAAAAAAATCTAATTTTTTGACAGAAAGGAGCTAGAGACTCGCTTATTTTTTTGATTTATGCCGGGCCGGAATAAATCACTCAACGGGCCGGGTCTGGCCCGCGGGCCATATGTTTGACATGCCTGCTTTAGACTGTCAGGGATGATAACCAATGGGCTGCAGCAGCCTGTGGTAAGGGCTGGATGATCCGAACAGACTCTTGCGCTGCTGATTTTATTTTTCTTCATGCATTATGCAATTATAACGAGGCCGAAATAATAATAATAATAATAATACATATTATTAATATACATGTCGGGTCTGCCGGCCCAAACTGCACGTCGGCCGGGCAAATGCCCGGTACCCCCAATTACCAGTCCATGCCTGGTGTTTACAAACAATTTGTGGGAACTGTTTCTTTTGTGTTTATGCACCTGCAGTTCCCACACAAGGTTGAGCCATTGTTTGTCAACACTGTCTGCTCTCATTTTCTTGCACATTTGACCCTCTGATGTTCTGTGTACATACACTCTCTCCTCCTCCTGTCTATGCCTGCTGTGTGTGTGCGTGTGTGTGTGTGTGTGTGCATGTTTGTTTCCACACTTCTTTTTGCCCCGGGTCCAGTGGACACGGACATCTTATATGTAATAGAAATGTGTAGGGGGGTGTATGGTCATTAAATATGTATTCTGATACATGTTCTTCACAGAAAATTAGCAAAAGTCAGTGAGTCTTAGTTTGAAAAATTCATTCATTGTATCATTTTTCTTTAAATAAAAAATGAAAACTGGTCGCACAGACCAGAACACCACACACATATTTAGCGTACGGTGTTTATTGTACGGCCACGGGAAAGGTGCTCCAGACGGAGTGGGTGGGGTTTAAAAAGAACAGCAGACAGACTGGTCAGTGAAGGAAAAGACATTCCAAATGCCAAGCAACTGTATGACAGTCTGTTGAGAGTCCAGACCTCTATACAGCTGTTCTACATTGAGGAGGAGGCTGTGAACAAAGCTGTGCAGAAGATGCCCAAACAACTCCCAGTGGTTCCTTCCACAATGCGCCTCCATCAAATGATCACTCTTTCACCAGGAAAGGTCGTCTACAGAGATTTCAGCTGTGCCTGCTCAACCAAACAGATTCCTGAGTGTACATGTCACAACTCACAGAGATTTGAATTTGATGTTCAGCCCGTCCTCTCTGATACCGCTGAAGAGCAACAAACAAGAGGAGAAATTAAGTGGGAGAGCAAAGATGTGATGGGACAGTGGTGTGTCATTAAATATGATGATGACTTTTATCCTGGGACCATTGTTGAGGTCAATGAGACACATGCAAAAGTCACATGCATGCACAAGGTGGGGAAGAATCGCTTCTACTGGCCAAACCGTGTGTGACAGCTGTGAGGGTTTTGCATAGACCAGCCAAGGGAGACGTAAAATAATTTCCAAAAATAATCTTAATTTATTTCAAAAATTACAAATTGGGCCCAAAAACTGAGGTAACCATAACAAAATGTAACTCAAGTGGTAACAAAAGAAACTCAAGCACAAACTGACCTCCCAAACAAGACATGAGGGAAACTTAAATAGTGGCTGATCAGACCACTGCTAACACACACAAGGGGGTAACTAAACACACAAGAACCTAACAAATATTAGTGAGATTATTATTAAATCTTTAAATTAAATAAATATCAAATTTAAACTAACTTTCAAAAAGAAGAAACATTAAATAAATGGTCAAAATAAACTAGAAACCCAAATATCCCCTTCCCCTGGTAAACAAATGGACCGGCCCGCTGAGGGAGTTTGACATCCGTGGACCTCAGTCAGCTGGAGCTCATCTGTAATTTCCAGGGGCAGGTCCAAAGGAAACTGATAACTCAAAAGGAAGAAATTAAATAGTTGTCTTTAACAAAAAATCCAAAGAACTGACGAATAAAGTCAACTAAATGTGTGCACTTCAAAGAGTTAACTCAAAAAGTCAGACTAATAAAACTAATTTCAATGATATAGATAAATCTAAACTAAACACTAATTAATATATGTAAAGTAACATTAAAGAGAAACAGAAAACCATTACCAATTCTGTGTGACAGCAGGGGCAGCTGTCACATCCACAATAATCATAGATTTCCCACTAATGTACTTACTGCCATTGAGAATGTACCATTCCACTGAGACAACAGATTGCATAACCTCTACACCTAAAAAATCTTTAACTTTTCTCCTAACATAATCAATATTTTTGACAGCTGAGACAGGCCCCGATTCTCTTTCACTAGCAAAAGTTGGATGCTCAATGCCTATTTCATTTTGACAACATTCAAGGAACTGATTCTGGTTTGCAAGCGATTTACAGACATTTTTTAAATTGAACTTAAAAGCCCACTGCTTAAAAAACTGTGCTTAGCTTCAAATCGCATACACATACTTCTAATTAATGGACCAAGAGATATGATTTGGCTTGGTAGATGTAACATGTAATGCTGCTTGGGTATTACATTGGCTTCAGAAAACAGTTCTTTGAAATGATGCAAATGTTGCTTAATCATGTGTCTGAGTCGTTATACAGTTTCTAAAGAAATAACAGGAGCAAGGACAATTTGAACAATCTCAATTAATTTGAGGATAAATTTGACATACTCGTTGTCCATATCATTCAAAAGAAAAGGTAGGATTTTTAAAAGTATCAACATTTGTCCACATGACTGCTTTAATTTATTGTCATTAGCAGCTAAAGTACTGACACTAATAGGACATGGCTTATCTCGTATGTCTAGAGGTGAATAAGGAAAATTTAGAATAGCTGAATTAATTTCATCTAATTCTATCTGTCCTGACAGAATCAGGTTTATTAATACAAGCTTTATTTCCATTGGTGCAACACCTTCTGTTAATCCCATAAGTGGTTTTGAGGGATGCTTTCAGTGTTTCTGTGCTTGCTTTATCTATTTCAACACACTGCCTGATGTACTTTTCCAAAGTTCTTTCAGCAAACCTATTCTCCTCAAAAATACTTTGCATATCCTCAAAGGAGCATTCACAATGTCTACATTTGCTATTAGCAAAACCAACACCTTGTTTAAATCCAGCAATCTCATGTTGGGCAAGTGTGTCTCCACATATGGCA